TAAAAAGAATAAGAATGAGGTACGACTGGCCTAAGCTGACAAGCGACGTGGAGAATTATATTTTGAAATGCGAATTCTGCCAGAAGAATAAGTTGTCGCGGAAAATAAAAGTACCGCTAGTAATTACGAATACGCCGAAAAAGCTTTTCGAAAAATGTGCGCTGATATTGTCGGGCCGTTACCGGTGACAAGTAGCGGAAATAAATATCTGCTGACGTTTCAAGACGGTCTTACGAAGTTTAATAAGGCGATACCCGTTCCGAATCAAGAAGCCGCTAGGGTAGCAAAGGAGTTCGCGACGAAAATTGTGTGTGAGCACGGGATTCCGGAAACGATTTTAACGAATCGAGGAACAAACTTTATAAGTAAACTGTTTAAAAATGTTTGCAAGTTACGGCAAATAAATAAAGTACAGACAACGGCCTATCATCCGGAAAGTAACGGAGCGTTAGAGCGTTCGCATTGAACATTAGCCGAGTATATACGTCACTACGTGAACGAGGACCAGACTGATTGGGACGAGTGGGTGCCGTACGCAATGTTCGCGTACAATACGACACCACACACGGCAACAGGATTTACACCCTTCGAATTAGTATACGGGAGGTGCGCGGAATTACCGACCGCCTTAACAAAACCACCGTCTACACAGTACAATTTAGAAAACTACGTGCAAGAATTAAAAGAAAGATTGCGGGCGACAAATCGAGTAACGCGAGAAAAGCTCAAAGAAGAAAAGGAAAAAGCGAAACGTTACTATGACAAAAAGACAAAGCAAGCAGCGTTTAGCGTGGGAGATAAGGTCTTACTTTATGACGAGACACTGAGAAGAGGCAGATCTAAGAAATTGGAATCAAAGTGGATAGGACCTTATGTGATAATTGCGAAAACGTCAAACGTGACGTATGCAATCAAAGCAGGGCGGCGCACGCAGAGTGTGCACGTGAATAGGCTGAAAGCCTTCGTAGAAAATTAAAAACAAAAAGAACTCATCGGGTTGCCTCACTCATCGTCTGAAAGAACGATGAGGGGGTGGACGACGGGCGGCGGGGGCCCCAAGCAGACGACATCGTCGTCCGAATCGTCCGGATTGACCTCCGGGTCGGGGTAGTCAGGCGGCGGAGGCCGCAAGCACAGAAAAATTACCTCCGGGGAGCCCGGTTGTGACGGCGGCGGACCCTCGGGGGTGTGGGGCGTCGCAGGGCGCGAGGAGCCGGGGCTCTCGGAGCTCTCAAAGCTGAGCGAAGTCGTAGATCCTTCCAAGCTGTCGTTCGACGATTCCTCCGCACTATCGTCAGTGCACGAAGAGTACACAAATTTGGACATGGTTAGCACTAAAAAACAAAGTAGTGTTGAAAACAAAAAGAGAAGACACACTTGTAAGTTTTTGTAAATTGAAACACTTACACTGTAAAAAAAAAACCAACACACACTAAGGTACCGTAGTTACCGGGTTGGTGGCGAACGAGGTACTGATGCTCGTCATCATGAGGAACCATGTCTTGAAGAACAAAAGATGATCACGGGACGTTTCAAATATAAGTCCTAGAATTAGTATAAGCGATAGTAAAAAGAGCTTAGATGACAGAGTAACGAACTCGGAGTACGACCGACGCTCGCGGTTCCACCTGTTAGGCGACACCATTCGCGATAAAAGTAACGGATAATGTATAAAGACGTATTGTATAAAACATTTTGCTTGCAGGAAAATGTTGTTAATAAAAATAGTAACAGTACTTACCTTTTGCGTCGTGGAGTGGAGCCGAGGACCAAGAGTACCACATACGAAAGTTTCAACAAAATCCCGGCGTGTACTACAAAAAGTATGGAACGATGCTCCACGCTAGCGAAAAGTGGAGACTAGTTGTAGGATTGGACGTGTCAACGGTATACACAAGAACGGAACGAACGGAACGTATGTTAGACTATACAACTAAGGCGTGCGAAAATGCGGCGATAACGCGCAGGAATAGAGAACTGTGCGAGGGGTTTGCCGCGGAGTTACAACAAAGATTGCAAAAAGTGGAAAAAATAGTAAAACGCGTTACAACTATAGTGGGAACACAAAAACGTCGTCGAAGGAGGCTGGTTAACGCAGTAGGTTCCGTCGCGAAAATTCTGTTCGGTACAATGGATGCCGAAGACGAAAAGCGAGTTTCGGAACAAGTGGAGTTGTTAAACAAGAAACAATCTGTTTTACAGCACGTGGTTAAAAATCAGCTGCAGATTATAAACGCGACTATTGCTTACGTAGAAATTGAGGAGGTCGTAGAGAGAAATGAAAACAAGTTAAAAAACGCGATGGTTAAAATAACACAAAAGGTAGACAGTTACGCGCAGCAAGCCGAACTTAGCGAGTATTTAATGGAATTAGGCAGCATGATTACAGAACTCAATTTCGACGTGGAAAGTATCATGGGTTACGTCACGGATGTACAAGCGAAGTTTGCGCAGTTAGAAATGGTACCCGTTGAATTAATAATAAAAGGCCTCCAGGACGCGAATAATTGGTCTGCCCACGGATTACATTTTCTATTCGTCATAACGCTAGAGAATTGGTTGACAATAAAAGAGTACGTCACGGTTAGCGTATATTGTAAAAACGCGAATGTGTATACCGTCGTCAAGTTTCCACTAGTAGCTCCGGTAGAATGCGACTTGTTGAGTGTAGTGCTCTTGCCGGTGCACGACCACGATAATGTTTTTAAGGTAGCACAAGTAAAATTCGAGATAGTTGCAGTAGATGAAAATAAACAAACATACTCCGTTGTAAAAGTAAGTCAGCTAGAGAAATGTAAAAACGTTGGAAAAAGTTATGTCTGCGATAGTGTAGAATCGGTGTACAAGGTACACGCAGACGCACCATGCAAGGTGGAGGCATATGTTAGTAATTCAGGAGAATTTTTCCAATTGTAAAGAGGAAACTGTGATTTTGAACCACACGATGTGGATAAGGCTAGAAAAAGCGCGTGTATGGCTGTATTCAACCCCGAAAAGCGAGTCGATGGTGATATCATGCGAAAACCGTAAAGAAGCAACGGAAACTGTAAACGGAGTCGGAGAGATAAAATTGTCGGAAAAATGTAAGTTAATGACGTCCAGTGTAACGATTCGCACCAACAAGGTGGTGGATGGTGAACAAATTAACACGTATTTGCCACGATTCAACCTTTTGGTGTTAAAAGCAAAAGAACGAACAGTTGGTGAAGAACCGGTAGTGTTAGAAAGCATAACACAGAATAAAACATAAATTGAGAAAGTAAAATCAGAGGTAACGGAATTAACGGACAAAATAAACGAGAGTTCGTTTTTTTGAAAATCCGCATCTTATCTATCCGACTACGTCAGGTGTGACGATAATAATGATAATTACTGTACTAGTTATATATAAAGTAATAAGAAATAAAGAAAAAGCGGAATTGGCACGCGTCGCCGTGAAATCGCGTAACGTGGAACAGCGTGAAAAGCGGCGAAGCGCTCGCGCGCAAAACGCCGAGACCATCGCGCTGTATGTCGCGTAGTATAGTATGTAAGATACAAAGATAATGTAAGTAACATGCAAAAATTGTACACAAGTAGGTTTAAGAATTGCGACGGAAAATGTTATGGACATTTTCCTTTTTCCCGAAAAGGGGGAAAATGTTGTGCGCCAATTTTTGTATTAAAAGTTAAGTGAGATGAGGCCATTGAGCAATGTGATGAGACATCACTGTCATTGCTCAATGACCTAGTTAAGTTGCAGGAAGGCAGCAGTTCTAGGAAGAACTGCTGGTTGCCACAGGGTGCGACACATCGCCGCATTGTCCGAAGTGCAACGCAGCATGTGTCGACACCGGTAACTAGCACGGCCGTTGCTAGGTCCGGTGGGCCTGCTGAATCAGCGCGATCGATCTACTATAAATCGATCGCGTGGATGAAGCAGAGGAGAGACTGTGATTAGACTGCTAGCTCACTGTGTGGCTCCGCAAGCCCGAGAGTTTACCGCAGTGAGGAACAGCCGTGTAAGAAACAAAAGGAACGTTGTAATCGGAGCAATAAAGATAAGAATACAAGTTCGTGATTAGAACTTCATCTTTACCACCCGACCTTCCTCGACATCCAACAATATTCTTATCACATAAAAGAAATTGATACTCAATAATCTTATTTTGCAAAATAGACATTGCACATAACATCCCAGATAACCAAGACTGAGTGATCATATTTTGCAAAGTTTGTAATAACACATTATGCCAGTACAATGTAGCCAGCATTCAAACATAATCTGTTCTTTCAACTGGTGTCGAAAGAAAAACAGAAAAATAAATGAGAATATAAATATGTCATTCCGTGATGCAAATATTATTGCATCAATCAAGCAGAACTTGCTCAAGAAATGTAGCAGATTTGAAGCATAATGTGCTATTGTCATTTCATTCTTCATTTATTTCTATATTTTTGCTGTGTTGTTTTCTTTATGTATCGTGCCTTGATAATTTACTCACTATGATGACGCAGCTGAGTGGAATCTGCTGCAAAGTGCTGATTAAACCTGCGTGCATACTGCTGGCATACTGCTATCATTTGGCTATCGGGGATATTACCCAAAGCACAATAAATAAATAAAATTGTTTATATGATTAACACAAAACAAATGTATGTAGTTCTTTAAAAACTATGCTTACATTATCTTTTTTTGCGTTACTAATTTTTTAAATCTTTTTCTTTTTATATTAATGCTTTTTATATTAATTATAAAAGTAACTGCTTCTTATATTAATTATAGATAACACATTATATAAGTAAGTGCTATTTATATTAATTATAAGTAACACACTCATTATATATGATTTTTGATATATTTAATATATATGCTCATATATAGAAGTTCATACTCAATAATCTTATTTTGCAAAATAGATATTGCACATATCCAAGATATAGTAAATAAAATCATGTAACACAAACTAAACAACTCTTATAACAAAAATATTGTATAATTTAAACATAATGTAAATCGTTTTTCTTATTATGTTTAGTCTGAATCAAAAGACTAATATTTCTTTTTTTTAGATTTCTTATGTGTTTCTAAATTGATAAAAGTTTTCATAACATTTAAAAACTCATCACGCTGTTCTATTGTTCTCTTTTTTAATTCATTTTGCTCTACTAGTAAAGCTTGCAATTTGTCAAAACGTTCATTTTCAATTTGTATGTCTTGTGCATGTAGTTCTTTAAAAACGCTTAAATTATCTTTTTTTGGCTTTACTGATTTTTTGACATTCTCAAAAATATTTGAAATTTTTATATTTTCTTTTTCTGATGAATTACTTTGTGTATCTTTATTGATATCTGTGCCTTCAATACTTTTTGTTTCATCAGTGCAAGTGCCAGAAGTTGCTGATGTAGTACAATCATCTAGTGAATCCAATAAATTGACTGGTTGACTGCTATGTTTTTCTCCTATAAGTTCATGCATCTCGTCAAAATATTTTGGCTGCTTTTTCTTTCCTGTACCAGTAGATTTCATATATCGACAATGTCCATGATACATTTTTTGTAAGTTTCGCCAACGTTGATGGCATTTGTCTGCAAGTTTTATTCTATTACAATTTGCTAAATATCCACTATTTTGCATTTCTCTTGCAATCTCAGACCAGATCTTTTTTTTAGAATGCATTTTGTCATTAAGAAAATCAAATTTTGTTTGTACAATCTCTAATAGCTTTAATGTTATTTCATGAGTAAATTCTGCAAATAATAGTATTACTTAATTAATATTGTTTATATGTACTTATAACAAATATTTGAAATATAGAAATAAATTATTTTGAATCATGTACATTATAAAAATACTTACTATCTTCATTTGTCATTTCTAACATTATTTCTTCAGTTGTTTTAGTGGATTGTGCATCTTTTTCTGTGTTTTCTGTAAAACAAAATATTAAATGCACCTTAATATAATGTTATTAAATTAAATATTCAATTACATACTGTAAGAAATCCGCCTCGCGGCGCCACGTTACGGGTAACAGCGTCTATCACGCGGTGCGACGAAAATCGCACGTGATGGAACACGCATTGTACACGGGAAAATACCGGCGAAACCTATCCTGCCGCCGAAAAGCATGGAAAGAAACGAGTCACTCTCGTTCGGAACTGCGTTGAGTTTAGACGCAGGGAGTGTCAAGTCGAATCTTTGCCGTGTCGTTAACCGATTAGTATAATTGCTCGGAGTGTTACTTACGTAGAATATCTGAGTCGCGTCGGATTTACACTTATGTATAGCGTGGTGATTTATTAAATAAAAGAATAATCCTTGTGAATATTACCGAAGAGACTTTAATTATTGTCCGTTGTACGCCGAGTCGTTCGAAGTCGCCTTGAGCTATTGTCTCGATACTGTCGAAGGTCAATCGTGTTGTCGAAGTCGTTGTCGAAGTCGTTGTCGAATGCTCTTGAAGAACATTAAAATCAAGTTCACGTGTTCGGTTATTGTTTCGCAGCTGTACAGTCGAAGCAACGGCCTATTTCGAACATTGTCGGTTAACGTGATACTGTCGTATAAATATTGCTGCCGTCGTGTATTCGCGATCAGTTGTCGATCGTCTGGATCTCTTTCAGTGCTCGTACTAGTTAATATTACGAGTGCCAGAAAACTTGCAAAATAAAATCGACAAACCAGAGTCGATCACTTTTTCAATACCATTAGCTGTAGTATCTGTTTCACACACATTTTCTAAAGTTGTAAAAGCATTTGCTGTAATATAATATACATAGATATAAATTATATATCTTATAATTTGAAAAGTTAACTTTAAGATAATTTATCTAAATAAGTAAATAAATTTTAAAAGAATATATTGTACAAAAAATTTTGTCAAACTAAACAGCGCATGATGCATGTCATATTTACTTTTTGTGCAATAATATAGTATTTTTCCTTCTTTGTTCAAAATTGGTTGACCACGATCATTTGTACAAATCAAGAAATTTTTATTCATTTTTCAACAATAAAACCTTTTCAATAAAGAAAAGAATATTTCAAGTTTGCATACAATGTTTTTTTCTACAGAAAAAAAAAGTTAGGTTACGAACTACTTTACATAAACAGTTTATATCAGACTATGGATTGAATTGCAATTAATACTCGGCCACAATCAGCGTTAACAAAAGTGCATTCAGTTTAAAATATATGCTAATTGATCAATTGCCACTCTCAATCTCAATCCATATGGTAATTCCTTTTATATTTGGCGCGTATTTGTAACCTACCAGATATTTGGAAAAGATACCCTGCTATTCTGCAGGGTATAGCGTGGTATTACCCAGGTAGATACCAAAGCGGTTAACCACGCCTCCACCACAAAATAACAAACACGCGAAAACATTCTGGTACACTTTGGTATATGTACACAACGTCAATGAATCGTGGAATAGGCGCGGGGATCGGGGAGCAAGCGGGGCGGTTGCTCGTAGCGCCAACGAGCGCCGTGCGAACTAATTAGTAGCAATCGGTTGTCCACAACTACGTCGTGTCGATAATGTAACTGCTCTTTCTTCCTATTTTCTTTTCAAAACGTAAAAGTATTGGCCATTTACTTAATATTTAACGTTGACAAATAACATGTATATATGTATATGTGTTTAATAGATGAATCTATAATGTCTCCGGTATATGGAAGGAACGTATATTGTAAAAGTCTCGTTTAAAAAAATATATATTTAATATTAATATTCATATGTAGCCACTAAATAAATATAATTCTATTATATTATTATTTTATTCTATTATATCTATATATTATTGTGTATACAATTAAATATATGTAAAAATCGAAACATTAAAAAATGTATAGGGCAAACCGTACATAAATAAGATGAAAAAGATACAACAAATAAATAAATTATAACAAATAGATATATGCCAACTGTTGAACGTATTCAGAGGAACACTCACGGACACAAAAATTATACAGAAGAAATTAATTATATATATATATAAGAAATTAATTATATATATATAATATATATATATATAATAATTAAATATATATATATATATATTGTTACGCGGCGGACACCGCGTGTGTGCCGCGAGTATCGCGTGAACGGCGCGCGCTTGGCGCGACTGTCGGTTGCCAGGCGACGACGGTTGTTGTAAGAGAAGAAGGATCGCGGTCGCGAATTCTGTCACGTCGCGTATTCATGAATCCGATCGGATTCTTTATGATTACCATTGTAATTTGAGCTATAATAAAGTGTTAATTAAGAAGCCGCGTTCTCTCATTTCCGCGGACGGTCACGCGAATCGCGCGGCTCGGTTACGTAGCTGGA